AGAACAGTTTAAAAAGAAAAAGGATAAAGTTGATCAAAACTGAAATTGTTTAGAAGGAAAGCAGAGATGTTAACTGATGGGGCCAATGATAGATTTCTAAATACATCAGTCATTTTTTAAGACTAAAGAATCCTACTTAGGAATAGGCTTTGGTTTCATAACAGTTTTAAAACAACTCCAAGGATAAAAGATTTAATTTAGTTTTAATTAGAGAGACAAATCATAGCATTACAATAACAGGACCAATCAGATTTTGTTTTAGTGGATAAAATTTGATCTTCTACACAATGTGATCTGAATCTTTAATCCAGTAAAGGGTAAAAAAAAAAAAAAAAAAAAAAAAAAAGATCATAGAGACCATCAAGACTTAGAGTTTAGTGGATCAACATTTCTAGGTGGTGTCTATCAAATGCTTAAGAGGATCAACCACTGCAACCATTATGCTGGACCACTGCTGATTAGATGCCAACTAACCTTGCACAAAGATGTGCAATCGATCTCATTGGACATTACAGTCATTTGCAAAAAAGTTGGTCTCTCTCTAATCCCCAGAGAGTAGAATTTAGCTCTTAATACGAGTTTAGCTTTTGACATATTTGATAATGATATCGGAAGTGTAGTGTCAAGGAGACAAATGGCTATCCAATACCAACATTACTCACAATAGTTCAATACTAGAGAGCCACACCTAAATCTAAACAGGTGATTTCCATGTATATCAATAAAGAAAAGGTATCAGATTGAACATAAAGCTAAGAGGATCAAATTTAAAGGTAGTGTCTATCGAAATAACTAATTGATAAATGGAAAATATTTTTAATAAAAAAGATGAAAGGTCTTTAGCATTTTATTTAGGTTCTTTCAATCTATCAATTAAAACTTTATATAACTATTGAAAAAATATTAACATTGGCCTCAGAACAGTCCATTAAGATTTCTAATACGGAGATGACAACTCTTTAATTTCATAACTGTATTCTGGCAATTGTATTACAAGTAACAGTCAGTGACTTACTTTCTTGTCTCCTTTATAAAACAAGCTAATGACTCAATGGTGATGACTGATATTATAATTACCAATAAAATAAGACATTCTCTGTAAAGCATATCTGTCTAGATAGTTTATTATAAACAAAATGACTTTATGTTGAGTTTGTATAATCTCTGTTGTCTTTGTGAGTTGATATTCATGTCTGGAATTGGATGAGCATGAAGAACTCACCTTTATACTCAATTGTCATGCCAGGTTTTAAAATCAGTGGTGCTAAGATAGAATATAAGGAGATTTGAATTAATGACTTTTTCCAAGTCATGAATATAAAATGACACCAACAATCAATATTGTGTGCTTCATTTATTTGTATTCCTACTTGTTAAGCTAATTTGCTCAGAAAAAGAAAAAGAGAAAAAGTGTGGGGGTGCAATGTTAAGTACATTTTAATAGTCAAATTAACAGGAGCAATTTACAAGATCAGATCAACATGGGTTTCAATGACTAAAATAGTGACTACATTTATATACATGTAGAATACTTATTAAACAAGTTCCTCTTTCACTGACGAAAAGCCTTAATGGGTGCATTCTAGTTTGCCCACTATAGAGATTATTATTTATTTATACTTGTATTAGATCTTAAGCAGTATTAGATTGCAGTTAATATCAGACATGAAGAACCATAACAGCGAATTCTCAAGATAAAACCAGAAGTAGTCGATATAGAACCAGCATTTTTCATATATATAATTCTTTTTTACTGTTGTAAAAACTTCCCAGCTAAGACCTGCCATGCCGGTTGCATTGTAATGAACCACTCTCATTCCCTTTGTATTCCACTGGTAAGAAATAAGTTCCACTTCTTCCTACGAACTGTTGCTTTGTGGAACTGCCTCCAAAGAGGATGCTTCCCTGATCACTACAATCTTAACCTGTTAAAGTCTTGTGTTAACTGTTACCTTCCCCACATATCTGCATAAACTCTGCCTCTTATTCTGTAAACCTATGCCTTAAGTGGCTCTTGGGCCTTGTACAGGATGAACATCATTGTAAAAAAAATAAAAAATAATTTTCAGAAATAAATTTTATATATTGTATTTGATGGCAAATCTGGCTCACAGCTACTTATACCTCTAAAATGGGTGAAAAATATTTCTGCAACCATATATGTGAAATTGTAGTATCTAAAGTTTGCCCCCAAACTGTGGACTACCACTACCTGTACTCTATAATATTGAAATATTAAATGTATGAAAGGGGTGCTGATAAGTTCTCAACACAAGTGCTTAAAAAAAAAAAAAAAACAAATGTGAGGTTTTGTCAATTGGCCAGATTTTGAGAAGTGGATCAGGCCAAGAACTCTTCAGCATCCCTTCATAAATAAAGGGTGATTGTTTTTATAGATATTGTAAATTACAGCATCATTTATTTCACAAGCATCAAAATATTTACAAAGCTGAAATCTTGAGTGAGGTATGAGCTTTTTGACTTAAACTAAACAAGCTAACCAGTTTATCATATGAACCAAATTCTTCCTGCAATAATTTATGGATTTTACTCATATATAGTACTGTATGCTAGCTAGATTATTAACTACTTCACCAGATATGAAATACATAAATTCCACCAAGACCTAAACTTATAGTGGAATAAATAGACAAAAAGTGCTGGCTCAATTCCCAAAATTTGAAATGAATTTACATTGCAATATAGCTGTAGATATCACGAGAGAGAAAAAAAAAAAAAGATATATTTTTTGTTATTTATTTCTATGTTGTAATTTCAGATGTTGGTGGGAAGGTGTTTATATACTGTATTTATGCTTCTTTCTTTAAAAAAAAAAAAAAAAAAAAAAAAATGACCACAACATTGGTTCTCTGACTTCAACCAAGATAATAAATAAGTTAGAGAAGCTATCTCAATGTTCTGCTATTTTATAATTATTCAAACATGCATACCCATGTGGCTCAGTGGCATAAAAACTAAACTGGAATCCTTAAGGCCTGCAGTTCAAGACAAGTCATTACATATACATTTAGGAACAAGTACAAAATTTCATTGCAAGAATCTGTTTTGGTAAAGATTCTGATCATAGCTCTTTCAATTAGATATAAAACAATAATTAACCTAAAACATGTGCATTATCAAGTTTTGCTGACAGACAATTTCACATGAGGAGATACAAAAGATGCTATAACAATGGATTATTGAGATTTTTTTAAACCTTGATAAAAAGAGTTGTCTACCTCTGCTAATATAACAATCCCAAATCAGAAGACAACTTAACTCTTTCAAAGTCAGGCATAAACTCTTTCCTTTGATATAACAGGTCAACTGTTTGTTTTTAGATGGTTTTTAGTGAATAAAGACATGGATGATGACCATAAGTGATAAAATGCTAATATTTAGAAAGCTGTCTTTTGGTCAACTTACACGAACCAACAGATACAAAGTAAATCTAAACAGAATAATATGAAATTCTCAGGGTAATTCTATGCAACAATGAATCTGTTCATTTTCTTGACATACAAAAAAGCCTGCTACATCTTATAGCTAACTGAACCAGGTTTTATCTAATCAATTCTTTCCATATGTACACAGGTAAGCATATGATGATATTTGCTAAAAGAAAAAAAACTAGATCATTTAAAAATAAAAGGAGTTAATATAAAACCTAAATGCAACTGCTGTTTCCAATATGAGTTTCCAGCAACTAATACCATTAGCAAAATAAAAAAATAGTTCATTCTCATAACTATGGATATGGGGATTAGTCATTTTTTACCATGAATGGCACCAATTCTCTTTGGGGATTAAAGCTTGTAAGTAAAATGCATTATTTAACTGTGATATGTCCATCATAAAACACAGTCAAGATATTTTAATTAAACCATGTTATGGTTTTAAAAGTTTATGCAAATCATCACAAACACAAATGTCATGATCAAATCTTTGGACAGAACAAAACATTTGATTGTTGCAAATTCAAGATACAAACTTCAAACTAATGCGAACTGTGCCATAAGAACAGTTGCCACTCTAAAGAGAATACTTGTCAGCTATTTCTGCCACAATAAAGGTATGCTAATCATGACTGTTTTCCTTTGATATTTACATTATGTATGTGTTGAAAGAAAGTTTACTTTTGGTGTTCAGAACATATATTAAATATATTTAGTATCATTAACCCCACAGTCAAAGAAGCAGAAAATTAAAATCAAGCCAGTAAATAAAAATTCTGAATATTGATAGCCTGAATATCAGTAATTCATCGAATATAACAACATCATCAATTAAGTCAGAACATACATTTTCCAATGATCAGTTCTAGATGAGTAAGTTAAAGTCAATGATAGCACAAAGATACAACAGGATGGTTAAAGCAAAACAAGATGAAATTACTAAAATAAAGAGGGTTTTGTTATTTACCATTGTTAAAATATTTATGGCATTATTATAAAAGGTTCTACTTGAATAGTTATAGCCCTCCATCTTCCCTACTGTGTCCAATTTAAAATTTAACTACTTTTTATTTTTAAAAGTGATAAGCAAAACAAGCACAAATTATATTTGTGATAAAAAGCAGAAAATACGAAAATATCAATAAGTTTATTCTCGTCTTTAAGAAAGACTGATAGACATGTTTAGGTCATGTGACCATATTTCCATAAACTGGTCTATCAGGAATAATGGCAAATTGGTGCCTTAGAGCCATTTTCAAGCTCATTTGATATTTTATTAAGGTTTTGTATTACCAAACTTTTTACTGAAAAATAAAACTGAGTAAAAATGACACTTTTAATATAGCTATGGAAATACTTTTTTTAAATAAAGTTTGTTGTATCTGTATCAAAGTGAAAATATATTTGCCACTTTAAAAAGGTGGATGCTGAAGGCAGGTTTTTATAGTAAAACAAGTGATCAGACATTCTGGTAGTTTATGCAAAGTAAACAATTTTTGATCATGAAGAAGAGATCCGATGTGTCTGCTTAATTTGAAAACTAACCTCTTCATAAAAGTTGATTTCCTGGATAGGTACATCACTTCCATTATTGCAATAGTCCTTAAATAAAAGGTAACCTGAAAAATAACAATACAAAATAATTTGGAGATACCATTCAGAGTGTAACAAAAAAAAAACAAAAAACAAAAAAAAAAAAACGTATTTTTGCTTATGCAGAATTAATTTTTACAGAAAACATGTAGATATTCACAAAGAAAGAGGTGACCAAAAACATTAGAGTTGACTGAGCACAATAATATAGTTTCTACACATTCAATTCAAATGAAATTAGTATTCATTCACAATTTATTTCTTTGGATTTGCCTAAAAAAGTTGACTATTTTTCATTTCCAAATAGGGAAGTTCCATGTAGCAATACCTAATTTTGGTCAGCATAAAAATATTTTGGTCCACTATTACGCAATACTTCCAGATCATATTCAGCATGGTAAAATCAATATCCGAAACAGCATTGTAAGCTCTAATTCTTAGTGGGGGGGTTAACTTTTCTTACCATAAATAGGCATCGTTCTGAACAGCCTATGAGAATCTTAGGTTTAGTATTCATTACTTTCTAATGATTTCTGGTGGGGAGGGATATTAAGCGAACCACTAAAATAAGCAATTAAAGGAACAAAATGAGAAAATCTGATAAACAAATGGTTTTAAGCTAAAAATTTCTAATGAAATAAATTACTGCATGTAGTGCCTGCCATAGATTTTAAGACAATCTCTTAATAAAAACTATTAATGATTCTAATGCAAAGTAAAGGAAAACAAAAAACAACATTTTTACATTAATTATTTGCCAAATGTGAAAAAAAAAATAAGGGGATGTAATTTATTTCCTTAGCATAGTAAATTAAGATGAATCAATCAAGATAGATTAGAGAAATGCATTTTTTTAAAAATTTTCATCAAGCAGAAGAAAGCATTCCTTTTATTTTGTTTCTGTTTAGATATAATGCAAATCAATTGCAAATGAGATTGGAATATAGGAGAATCAACAAGTGTGGAAAAAGAAAATATCAGTAGCAGCCAGCCAACAAATAGACAATGAACAGGTGATGGCTATGATGAGCTATGCAGACAAAGAGGAGGAGGAGGAGGAGATGAGAGTCTGGAGAGATTTAAGGAGATTCCATAATGGATGAAGGGAAGAGAGAAAAAGAGGATAGGAAGAAGAATAGCTTTTGGAGATGTGTTGTATTTTCTCAAAAGGCTTTTTTCTTTTTTACAGAATTTTTTTACAATTAAAATAAAAAAGCGAAAGTAACAGCAAAAAAAAAGAAAAAAAGAAAAAAAAGGCTGTTCTAATCATTTAGGTGTGCACATAAATTATTCACTATTAGAATTTATTAATATTGGTATTGTAATTACTGCAACAACAGCAATGACTGAAAGTAGGTAGGACAAGGAGGAACAAGTTTGATCATTGATAAGCTGTCAAGGTAAAGCAATTAGGGGTTAGGTCAAAGGTTAGTACAGGTATCAGCTTGCTTTGCCACCATCACTACAACTAAGTTAGAAGGATGAGACTGAGTAGCAGTAGCTGGAGTGGAGTGAAAGGTATGATGATGCCATATCAGCCTTGTGTGTGTGTGTCTGACATCATAAATGCCGACTGTATAGGTTTTGTAAACCTGTAGACAACAAGATTATACTAATAAAATAAATAAATGCAAGATAGTAACAAGTGGTCAATGATCATAAAAAATAAATTTGAAGCCATCAGGGAAGAAAATATTTTATTTCCTACCATTGTTGGCAGATTGATATCACAAGTACATAGAAAAGGATGATGTACATTAATTTTACAAACTAATAATGTATGAAAAAAAAAATATAACCTTACTGCAGAAGCAAAAGAAATTTTGTTTTAAATATTCAACTACAAAAAAACGGTTACTTTTATTTAGCGTCAATGAAATAATTTACAATTGTATTTGGTGAAAATTAAAATGATACAATGCATTCACTTAACTTTGATTTGTAAATTACTCGCCAAATTCTATGCATAATTTTTATTGTACGGTTTTAAAAGAATGCAGAGGTCAACTCATCAAAAAGCCAACAAACTATTAACGACACTAAAGTGAATCATAAGTGTGCACTGTTGATTTTTGTAAGAGTGAGTTGGAGTGAATCAATGTGAAAGTAAGGAGGGGGGTCGGCTTCCTCCTACACACAATACGAGACCACCATTGAAGCAAAGAGAGAGAGAGAGAGAGAGAGAGGAAATAAACACCAATGCATTAAATAAAAATAAATAACAATATCTGAAGATTTTAAATAAAGAGAAATGTTTTATTTGGTCCATTTTAAAAAGTGAGAATATTAAAAGGTTAAAAAAAATTTCATCTCTGATGGACACACACACACAAGCAAAAAAGTATATAAATAGATTTCAATTTCATTTATCAGTGTACAGCGGGGAGAAAGCATGCGGATAGATAAAAGTACTGAACACTATATATATATATATATATATATATATATATATATATATATATGTGTGTGTGTGTGTGTGTGTGTAGAAAGTATTTCGCTGTAGTGTATGAGGGAAGAGGGGGATATCAAGAAGGAAATTGGTTGGAAGGCGATAAGGATGATGAAAGCAGACAAAAATATACATGGACATTATCAATTATAAACATACGCACAATTATTAATTGATATGAAATGAATGCACATTGCACATTTATATATTGTACAATTTACAAACTATTTTTGCACATATTCAAGCACATGTATGCATCAAGATACATGCTCCCTCTCTCACACGCGCGCGCACACACACGTAATGAAAATGAATGCACAAACGCAAACCTACACATACGTAGTATGTTTTCAGAATACAAAAAAAAAAAAATCTAATATTCTTAAAACATACACACGCAGGCAATGTAGAAAAACTTATTCACATATCGTATAATCGTACATTTCCAACAACACATACATTATGTTCACACGTGTGGTGTACGCAAATCCTAACACATATTCACAGACTAACATGAACAGTGGACAAAGTGACCATACACAAATAAACACATTGAAAATGTAGAGGTGGTAGTAGTGGAAAGTTTGAAAAATAATACTACTCACCAATCCTTTGGTCGAAGATGTGATCAAAAGTTACAACACCATTTTTAAGGAGATGTTTGTGCATCACGCTTCGTATACTAGAAAGATAAAATAAAATTTATAAATAAAACACACATTCAGAAAAACCAATCTCTCTAAAAGAAAACATAAGAAATAACAAGTAAAAAGACTATGACATTTTTTAAATCTTTATTTCAAACGATACAAAATGATGAAGGAAGATGATGTTTGAAGGAGGAATACTGAAATATTTAAAAAAACAAAAAACAAACACTGATGACTGAATAGAAATAAATCCTGATATGGTTACTTATTTATCATATTTATTTATCATATTTATTTATCCTACATGCAGCATCAGGCAGACAAGACAAAAATCATATCTATGTGTGTATTCTATGGCACACAGTAAACGAAGTGGGGTGACTTGGGTCAGTTCTTTCTAGATTCAATAAATTAACTGATTGATTCAGAATACCAGACTATTCAAACATCACTTTTTACTAGTTAGAATTATGTTCATTGGCAACACAATTTATAATTTAAGTTTAAAAAAAGGATTAATTAATAATTATTTTGTTTTTTACGTTTCTTGTGATTGATTGTGCACACCAAACGGATACGTAAAGAAAGAAAAGAAATTCTTCCATATCTGTCGGTCATAATTTTAGTATTGCAAACGGTTTCCTTAAATATTATAGACATTTTAAATTTCAGCTATAAATATTAAATTAAGAATACGACCGTTCATACTATAGGAAAGAAGATGAGATTTTTTTTGTTTTTGCATTTTCGAGAATAATAAAAAAAAGAAAAACTAAAGATTTTTAAACACTTAGATTCTGTCTAGTGTAATGATTAAAAAAATCCTTAGTTTGGTGTATAATCTAGTGAGTAGAGTATATAATTTACACTAAACTTTTTAATCGAGACTAAAAAAAAACAGCTATAATTAGTCATTAAATTGTGATCGTCGGTAATTAGTAATGACAATGACAATGTGTGTAATTATGAATGACAACAACATTGTCAATTTTCATTTAAACTAAAACATAATTTCGATTACATTTTATTTTCATTTTAAACTGCGCCGTCTTTTTCCAACAACAACAAAATGATTGTGTGCAGCTTTGAAATGGAAGGAACCATTTAAAAATCATATCCTTCCTCAAAATAAAGTCTTGTATTTAAAACAAAAGGATCATCAAAGTCATTCCATCCTTTTTTCTTTTTTTTTTACATGCAACATGTTAAAAAAAAAAAAAAAGGTGCGGGGGGGGATGGAATTATTTTTTTCTGCTGCTTATTGAGAAAAAGGAGGGAAAAATAAAAGAGGATGCTTTTTTACTGGTTCCCAGGCTTAAAAAAAAAAAAAAAAAAAAAAAAAAGAAATTAGAAATTAAATAAAACTAAAAGTGAATAGAAAAATAAATAAATAAACGGTAAGTAAAAACTAGGAATCGACTGGTTTGGAGACTGTGGATAAGTAAACTGAACACCCACTTTATGGCCATTTTTATTTTCAAACAAGAAATTCAAATTGTTTTGGAAGGGATTTGTTGATTTATTCGAGTTAAAATGAAAATGGCATTAATTAAAACGACTCTTGCAGATATATTTTCTGATTAAAGATATATTTTTAATAAAAATTAATCTTTTATTAGATGAATTTGCAAACGAAATTTTAAAAAGTAAAAAAAAAAAAATGCCAAAAAACGAAAAAGTGATTTTCATTTTCACAAAAAAACGAAGGACTCAGTCTTAAAAGAAAAAGGGAATGATTTATTTATTTTTTTGTGTAAATAACAGCAATCTATTTAGTTCCTTAGAATTCTTAATAAATGAATGTTTAAACTAGTTTACATCGATCGTTGGCAGGGGCTTTAAAAATGTCTTTTTTGTTTGATTTTTGTTTTCCTAAAGAAACAAGAGATCTTGGAGAGATTATCTATACACCAACTCAAAAAGGAGGTGGAAATATCACATCACATGTAAAGAAAAAAAAAGAAGGTAGCTCTGATTTTCTCTTTGTAAACAAGAAAAACACAAAAAATATGAATATATATAGACATGTATGTATTATCTACCTCTGATCTACAACTGTTGTGTATATTATATAGGCACAATCATAGAATATGTACAAATATTATTGCAAACTTAGGGACGGTGTAGTTTGGAAAGGTACAGGCTTTATACACGTTTTTACGACTATGGACACAAAATGGGGGTTCAGTGTTTAAAATCGTTGAAAAACCTTCGTTCGTATCCATACGGTGTATATACAAGCATTCAGTAAAATAAGTAACTATTTTGGAAATATTTTAAGAAATGAAAATCTTTGCTGATTAGTACAATAGCTGAGAAATGATGACAAGCAAATAATTATTAGAATTTATTTCATTTTAAAATAAAAAGGCGAATTTCTGTTTTGCTGGAAGCTTAGAAAAAAAAATAAATGAATTAACGATTGTATAAAGAAAAAGTAGCGTTTTTTTTAAACTTGATCGTTTTAATCATTTTTAATATATTTTTAAAATTAATTTAATTAATTACATGTGAGAATAAACTTTTTAAAAAATAATGAAATAATGTAGGAACATAAGAAATAAAAGGAGAAATGAATTTAATTTAATTTTAATGAAGAGAAGGAAAAATAAAAATGTGTGTAGGTAGAAAGGTGAGTTGAAGTAAGAATTTTATTAAATGATGAGTTGAGAGATTGAAAGAAAAAATAAATATTTATTTAAAGGTTGATTGATAATTTATAAACACTGGACAGGTATTTAAAATTAAAGAAAGTAAATAAATATATTACTAAAAATATACTAACTAAAAAAAAAATTACTATAAATAAGACATTTTTTTTTGGTCCTAAAATTTCGAATAAAATCAAACTAAGGTTTCTTTACATATGTAAAGATTTAAAGAAATATAAATTATTAAATTAAATACAATTCGATCCGTGTAAAAACAGAAAAAAAGAATTGAAATTATTGTTTTGATTTTGAAACTGAAATTATCACCGACCAAAAAATAAAGGATAATTTATTTCTTTTAAATTTTAAAGGATTTTTTAAAAATGTTTGACAAGAGGAAGAAAATAGTCTTTGAATTTGGAGTTTTAAAACCAGAAAATTTAAAATTGTCATATTTTTAATTTATAATAAAAAATAAACTCAACTTGAAACACAAAAATCGAAACTAAAATCAAGAAGCATTTTTTAAATATTTTTAAAAATGGTTATTTTATTTATTATTGTAAAATGTAAATATATTTGGAAACATCATTTGGAATAAATAATTCTAAAAAAATAATTAGAAACAAAAACTCATTTAATAAATTTATTTTAAAAAAATGTCATGATTGACAATTTTAATTTTAAAACATCAACAAGAAAATTTCTTTTAAAAATGATTCTGAAATAATTATTTTATTTTTTAAAACTATTTTCTTTTTTACTAGAATCTTTATATTTTATTTAGAGGCAAATAATTAAGAAGAGGATGAAATATAAATTATCTAAAATAAAATAAATACCAAAAATCGGAACTGAAAGAAAGGAATCATCGACATTTACAGAATTTGATCAGAAATCTTTAAGGTAAAAATTCTGATAAAATTAACTTTAACGTAAAATTAAAAAAAAAATTGCAAACGAAGAAAGATTGTAGATTGTCAATTTAAAATGATGATAGAATTTAATCGTCAAAGAAGGGAATGACCAAAAATATCCAAAACATTAAAAGACATTGGATTTTACAATGAGAATAGTTTCGTGGGGAAATCAACACTCCGCAAAGGACGAAGAATTATAAGAAATTCATGAAGACATAAAAGACAGTGAATGGATGAAAAACGGTAATAAATAAATAAATAAACGGTTTGGAATTTAGATTTAAGTGAGAGGAAAAAGGAATCGGGAAGGAATAAAATAAAGATGAGAGGAAAAAAAAATAAAGAGAGAGATTGAAAGAAGTCACACCATTTTTTTTTCTTCTTTACATACAAGAAGAAAAACAAGCAAGTTAGGGTCGGGTACAAGAAATCAGTGCAAGGTGGACATAGCGGGTAGATAAAGGGTGTGATTTGAATGAGAAACCTACCTTGGATCTGGAAGGACAATTTTCTTGCTAGCTCTGGCGGCTGGAGAAGATTTACTCTTCTCCATAGCCATGAGATAACTCACATCGGCTAGAACAGCTTCCAAGTCAGCCATGTTTGTTACTTAAAATGCCAAAAAAAAAAAAAAAATACTCAAAAAAAAAAAAAAAAAAACTAAGGAAAAAAAAAAACTTTCTTTTTTTTTCTTTTTATTATTTTTTCTTACTCTCTCCTCTTGTTACCTTTTTTTTTTTTATTAATTCTTTTTTTTTTTAAGTTTTATTTATTTACCTATTAATATATTTCAATATCAATAAATAAATAAACAAACAAAAATAAACCGGTTTAATTTTTCACCTCCAAAAAAATAAATATTTTTAATTTTTTTTTTTTTCCCCCAAGGTGTTTTCTCCTCTTTTTCTTTTTGCAGTAATCAAAACAAACACATGCCTTACAAATTATTTAAATAAATGCAGTAAGTAAAAAAATTTCCGTGTAAATCCAGCGAGTTTTTAATAATTCCTTAATAAAAAATAAATTTCCTTGAAGTCGTATGTCGCGTAGACGTAGAAAGAATAAATTCAATCTTGTGTACAAATCAGTTTACGATATCAATCAATCAAGGATATATATATATATATATACACACATACATGCATATATATATATATAAATTTGTGAATAAATAATTAATTACATATTATACAACATACACACACACTGAAAGTAGTGTGTGTGTGTCTGTGGATGTATGAAAAATGAAATGTATGTGTAAAATCTGTTATGTATTATTTATAATACATTTCACGTGTACTGTAGGTATGCAATTATACCCTTTTTTCTTTCTTTTTTATGTATATATAAACATTTCATTTACACGAAATTGACGAGTGATGACGTTGTGTAAGTAAGTGATGAGATGGATTTTGAGTTTTTATATTCCTTATGTCTGCGGTCTTTCCTCCAGTTGGTTTTTGTTGATAAAATACATGCATATATATTTATTTATATATAAATAAATGAATATGCATGTATGTATGTAGGAGAAATTGGTGTTTTTAATTATTTTTTTTCCTTGACTCACACTCACTCCCTTGTGTAATAAGCCTGGAGTGATGTGTTTTTCCGTGTTGGTTCTCCCACAACAACTAACACGACGTAAGCCAGTTGAATAAAAAGAGTAAGTAGATAGGTAGGTATTAACGAAAAGAATAGGTAAGCGACTCCAACCAACCAATTAACCCCCAACACACACACACATACACGCACACATACACAAATGATGTTGATAGGGGGATGGAAGTAAAGAAGTTGGTGGGTGGGAGAGAGAGAAAGGGAGAAAAAGTTAAACTTTTCTCTCACTTTCTTTCTTCTTTCTCCCCCCCCACACTATCTCTTTCCCGTTTCTCTTTCTTTCTATCTCTTTCGGATGAATGAAACAAAGAAACCAAAAACAAATAAATAAGACTTTGTTGTTGACGATGATGATGATGTGGGGAGAGTTATCTTTCTTCCTTTCTTTTCTTTTTTAACAATTTTCCCCCCCTTTTTTTTCTTTTTTACACTCTCTTTTTCTCTCTATCTCTCGCACTCTCTTGCTCGCTCGCTTACACTCTCTGTCGCAGCCAACACACACAATCCCCCTCAATCTCTTCGCTGCTACGTCTGTGTAACGTTCCTACTACAAACTGTTTAATAGTAATTCTGCTGCAATTCCACTGCGGGCTGCTGCTGCTGATACTAACCACAACCACGCCACTCCTACTGCAATCCTACTGCAATCATGCTTCTACTACGTCTCCTACTCCTACTTCCATTAATGTCCATACTCTTACTGCTACCCTGCTGTCATTAATTTTCCTGATGTCTCTTAATGACAGTTCTGCACCGATTTGCTGAATTAAGTATTACTAAAATCGATTAAGTAGCTATTATTGATAAATGAAACATAGAACTACTACCCTTGGTATTATTAATTACAACTATCGCTGGAGAGTGATTTATTTAAGCCAGTCTCTAAAAATATTATCCCAGGACCGAGGTACTCAACACTTGTGGTCTTGTACCATAAGCTAAGGAAGCTTAGTATCTAAATAAATACCTATACAGGTCGGCTGCTGTAGAACTTTGCCAACGAAATTTGCTACCAACAGCTTTGCTAGTGATTTCGACTCCAGAACTCCATAGTTAGAACTTTGTGTGCCATAGTGTAACTGATTTCGCTTCGTTATGGTCAGGCCTGTCACCAGACTGTTTTCGAGTGGAGAGAGAGAGAGCGAGCGAGAGAGTGTGTGTGAGAGAGAGAGAGCGACTTTAAAGTCAGGGGGTCGTGAATAAGCATTTGCACACTAAAATTACTTCAGATCATTTTCACCTTGGGAGCGGGGAGCAGGCAATGGTGTAAGTTTTTTGGGGATTGATTAGCAAGCACATCTCGCATACTGTTAGAGTTCGAATCTCACAGACTTCCCCACGTTGTGGCCTTGTTCCAGACTAAGATAGACTTTGCAAAAAACCAATATTGCTTCTTCTTCCGTGTACCGTGTTCCGTCAGGACACGGGAGACCAAGGCTCTCCACAGCTTCCTCCGCAACTAATACTAGTGAATTTGATTACGCATTCTGCCTGTCGCAGAAGATTAAGAAGCACATTTTGCAAATTATTTGCTGATTTCGACAGAGACATATCAATGAAAAGTGGCGCCCCTAACACTGTATTAAAAAACGCACCTTTCCAAACGTCTGGCTTATGGCTACATCAGTTGAAACAAGGGTTCCCGTACGATCCCGAAGTTAAGCAACGTCGAGCTTGGTCAGTACTTCGTCAGTGACCTGGGGGGGGGTAATAATGGATAATAGCTCGGAATTTGAAATCCGTGACTAATCGGGTTCGTTATATTAATTTACGTGCAAATCCACCTGGGAAAGGTGAGAATTCATCTATTATCCCAACGCAGCTATGAGTTAATATTTGTATCAGTGAAAATTTAAATGTAATATCAATCGACATCTTCTGTTGCCTTGATACCCTTTCTCCTTTGTATCCTCCTCCTTTCTTCTTTTTATCCTTTTCTTAGCACCCCCACCCCCCATACCCAGTCTTTTCCCTTACTTATACTCACTCTAGCCCCTTGCTTACTAGTGGCACTCCTACCTTGCTTGAGGTGAATTGCTTAAAAAAAAAGGCCCTTAACAAATTTTCTCTTTCTGCTATCTCTCCCAAACCCTGCTCCAACCACCCTTCACTCAAGCTTGACAGGTAGGTAATGGATTGTGTTCCTCCTTCCCTTCAATCTGTCTTGAGAATATCAAATATTCCAAGCCCTCTTTCCTAATTATGGCCCTTGGAAATTTCAACAATCTCTCTTTATTATTTGAGTAAGGTTTTTTTTTTTTTTTTTTGCTTTCCATTTTCTCTAGAAGTTCATCGTTGTTCATATATTCAATTCATGACATTTTCAGCATCCTTCTGTAGAACCACATTTCTGTTGCTTCAAGTCTCTTCTTCACCTGTGAGGAGATTGTCCAGCATTCACTGTCATATAAGAGGACTAATATTACATAGCGGTTCAGTAATCTTATTTCTTTTGTTTTTTTGTTAGTTTTTTTGTTTTTTGTTTTTTGTTTGTTTTGTTTTTTTAAATTAAATTATTCTGTTTTTTTTTTTTTGTCTTAGCTTTTGGAAGGCATCTTTCGTTATTTGATCGCTTTCGGCTATTTTATTCAAGGATTTATTTTAGCTGAATATGTGGATTCTTATATAAAAATATATAAAAATCCACATATTCAGTTAAAAAACAAAAAAGAAAACATCCTTGATAATGGTTAATAGAATAGCCGAAAGCGTTTCGGATAAATAGAACATTTAGACAATTCTACACACTTTATGTTCAGAAAAAGAAAACTAATACAAACCAGGAAAATTGAATTAAAAGCTTAACCACAATGGCTTGTCAGTTGTTTTAATGAAACACACTCACATATAAGCAGTGCCTATTGAGCAATCATTCTCACCACAATTCTTTATGCGTCAGAATCATGGACGTCATACAGGACACACATCAATCAACTTGATGCTTTTCATAAACGCTATCTTCGTTCAATATGCGGTTATACACGGCGGGACAAAATTTCTAACCCTGATCTTTTCATCAAATGTGGCATCGGGGGTATTGAATCCTTTCTGATGCAATCACAGTTGAGATAGGCTGGTCATGTCATCAGAATGAGTGATGATCGGATGCTGAAAATTCTCATGTACAGCCAACTTTTTCATGGTCAGTGTAATGTAGGCTGTCCTTGGTTACACTTCAAGGATAAACTTAAATACAATTTAATTGCTGCAAACATTCCTATAGAGGAATTCGAACTTGCTGATGAAAACCGAACAAACTTGAGAAATACCTGCTACTGAGGTATAGCTAACTTTAAAAAGAATTGTCTCAACCATCTGAGAGAATTAAGAATTAACACTAAATCTTGGGTTAATACATCAAACCATATGGCGGTTAACCCTTCAGTATGCCCTTCGTGTGGATCTGTTAGCAAATCCCGAGCAGGACTGTTGTCTCATACGAAACATAAACATAAAAACTGAACTGAAAGATACTCATGCGTCGAAAACGACAGGAGAGTCCATCATATATATATATATATATATATATATATATATATATATATATATATATATATATATATATAATATTAGTGGTCAATATATATATATATATATATATATATATATATATATATTTCAAGAGGATAGAATACAGGCAGAGCTCAATGTCCAGGACAGAGTAAGAATATAATATAAAAGGCTCAAACACTAATATTCCATGGTTATAATTTATTACATTGGAATCGTAATCACGATACAATTCATCCGACCTACAAATCCAATATAATAAATTATAACCATGGAATATTAGTATTTGAGCCTTTTATATATATATATATATATATATATATATATATATATACATATATATATATATATATATATAAAGAGAGAGAGAGAGAGATAGATAATATTAGTGGTAAATATACATATACATATGCAAAATATATAAATATA